CAAACGCCATTCAGTACCTGCCAAACTCTGACTACACAGGAAGTAAATGCTACATCACAAAAATGGGTATACCCCTGTGCACATGTGCTTCTGATATGAAATGCATAACAGCAGGAATAAACCAGGCGTAACACTGTTCTGCCCCTCCCCAACATGTTGCTTTCTTTCCATACCCCTCAAAAGATGCAAATTTGGTTGTTTTGAAATATTTTGAGTTATGAAAATGGCAGGCAGCCCTGGTTTGGAAACTAAAGAAGCATCAGCCTTATGAAGGTGACATTGATTTCAGACAGTTGGCAAACTATGAGAAGCATAATTACTGAGCCAGACTGGGAACCTGCCCACCTAATATGAACTTGTTAGTCTATGCAGAGTAACAGTCAATGTTGTACAAGCAGCAGAATGGAAATTGCTTTGTATTTATTAAAAAAAAATAATAATTATACTGTACATTTTAATTTGAAATGCATTCACTGTAAATATAGTGAAAACCACACTATTATTATTTTTGTTTTACCCCAAATCTCCGTGAGAGTCTCACCCGCTTGCCTCATTAAAGCCGTGCGTGTGTTTGGCTGTTTAACCAGGCAGGATGAGGTATTGACCTGCTGCCATCTTTATTGACCAGCGTGAGGTTTCACGTGTGAAACGAGTGTCAACTATGGCAACCACTGCATCCAATACCAAACATGCGTAAGAGTGAAGGGGTGTAATGGTTAATAATTGTTTCTGAACAACATCCCATTGAACATTCATCATACATCAGTTGTCGCACGATTATATTTGTGTGTGTGTGTGTGTGTGTGTGTGTGTGTGTGTGTGTGTGTGTGTGTGTGTGGTGTGTGTGTGTGTGTGTGTGTGTGTGTGTGTGTGTGTGTGTGTGTGTGTGTGTGTGTGTGTGTGTGTGTGTGTGTGTGTGTGTGTGTGTAACGTGACACGGCCTGCCCAGGTAGGTCAGGTGTGCGTGTGTTTGTAACTCTACGCTCCGCTCTGTGTGCGGGCCAGCAGCCTGCGTCCTCCACTCGCCATGCTTCTGCTCACTTCCATAGAGCCTAATTGCATGGAATGCCTCATTAATAACGGTGTTAAAAATGGTGCGTTAAAAATGGCGCGTTACAACGGGCGGCTGACGAAGGGGCGAGCTGGGTCGCTTGAGAAGCGATTCAAAGAAATGAAGCCTTTGAAAGTTCTCCAGTTTGTATTCATGTCAAGGTAGAAAAAAATGTTTTTAAAGGTTTTTAAATGATTCTTAACTTAGATTTTTTTTTTTTACCCAGTTGGTATTAGAAAATGTTCACTGGTAATGCTCAGTAGATAAATTTCCTCTTTTAGTCAGTTCTTGACAACATCTATAGCATCATAATCATATTGCACATTACATGGAGCGATGCACTCGTGTAACATATGCCAATAAAATCCTTGAACAGATGGCTCTGCTCTCACTGCCTTGTTCCATGTACATTTTAGCTTCTCAAATGCAAAAGCTACTTGCTAAGCCTGGTGGTTGGGCGCGAGAACAGTTATTCATCCAGCCACCCGTTGTGTTTTTGAGTGAAGAAATGTTTAAAGTTGACAAGAAATTGGAAAAAAAATCACCTGATAATAATGCGTTGTTTGAAAACAAATACCTGAACACCAACTATAAAGTCTTAAAAAATGCAAACATTTTAAAAGGACTTGAATAAATAAGCAATGCTTAGCCTGGTGGCCCGCCAGGCTGACAGTGCACTGAGGGAAACCCTGCATTGAAATAATGCAATGTACGTTTTCTTTATCTTGACCAGCCTTAAACGTAATTTTAGATGAACTTGTCCCGTAGTTTGTAAATAATTTAGTTTTTCTAAAGAAGTTTCTATCAGGTGTGCAAACATGTCTGTTTTAGGGATGAAATAGTTGTTAAGGTAATCAGAATACGATGGAGCTGTTTATTCTGAGATTATATTTTTATTAACTTTTATTTTTTCAAAATTTTGTTATGAACATATATTTAACTTTTGATGCTACATATGTTCAGACTGAATAAGAAAGACGTTCCTAATTTCACATTTTCATTCTGAATGGGGTTCTAACAGGTTGTTTAGCATTAAGGCTCAAGAGTCTTGCTTGTACTTGTTGCTATTTGTTTTGCATTTCGGCGCTACATTCAAAATACTGAGCATTACCATGAACGTTACTGCCATGGTCAAACAGGATGATGGCAGTATCATCCTGTGGGAATAACCACTCGTGTGTAAACGCTAAATTAGTTTCTTCGTCTGACCAGTTAATCCAGAAAATGTAATAATTTATAAGCTTGTAATGTTTCTTTCTTTATCAAAGTAACGAGGGGGGAAAAAATCAACATGACTGGAAGATCATCTTTGCAGCCAGTCTTATTGATGAATTTAAAAGGTAGCTACATTATCTTGTTTCTGAGTTTTCGCCGTTGTTTTTACTGCACAGCATGTTTGCTCAAATTGATTTTCTATTACGGTGACTCGTGGGTTTTACTGCACGTGTCGTTGTGCATGCACCTCCCTGTGTTTAAAGTTCAGCATGATGTGGTGATGGACACAAATAATCAGATTTGTCTGTAACCTTTTGTAAATTGGCTTTATTTTGAATTACCAGGTTTAAACAAAAAGATTTAGACATATTTATGCTTCTAATCTTCATAATAAATTTAAGCGTCGGGTGATTTTTCTGCTCAGATTGCCATCGTCTTGCTGGTTAGAGTTTCATTGCATCGTTGGCACAAAAGTATGTCGATGTTTATTTTTAGAAGCGATTTCCTTAGAAACACAGCATCTTGTTTAATACAAAAGTGTGCTCTGCATGCTTTTGAAAATTATCCAGTAAAAGCACAGTGATGGAGAGACCCTGAAGGAGAAAATGGAGAATCGGTGCTTGATATTTTTGAGATTTCTTTTGCTGTTTGGAGCCGTTCAAATAATTTCTTCATATGTTGTCAGATGGGACTGTCTTGTTGTTCCCTATTTTAATATCAAGCTTCTTGTATTTTAAAATTTTTTTGTGCATATTTATAAACCTCGTTTCAGACAGAAGTGGTCACGAAGGATGGGTGAAACTTGAATCTTCCATTTTAGATGGACTTTTTGGTTTCTTGTCCCGGTTCTCCTTTCAGGCCGAGGCCGCGCCCTCCTTCTGCTGTGGCCTTTTAATTTCTAATGGATATGCAAATGCAACCATGTTTACAGCTGGCATGTCAGGTTGACGCTTAGCTGCCCTTTGATAGCGCAATATAAATGCAAAATTGTCACCACAGCTATCGGTTACCTTTTTATTTTTTTTTCTTTAAAAACAAGTTTGCAGACACGCATGACTGGGCGGTTGCTGCTGTATCCTGGTTGAGTTTGGAGAAAATGGGCTTGACTGTGTTGTGCAGAACAAACTGTCTGAGATGGCTGTTGTTTTAAATGAATTTAGGCTCCACTTAAAGTGCAGGATGGCTGCTTTGAAATGGATGCTCTGCACTTGGTTACAGAGAGCCTGGCCTCCCGCCTTGTGCTGCTATTGAGCTCCAGATCAATGGAGGATCGCTGCAGGCGGACGGGCAGCTATTCACCTAGTCTGGCCTGCAATTGTGCAATCTGAGGGGCCGGAGGCATTAAAAAGTAGGGGAGGAGAGGAGCGACAAATCCTTCAGGCGCCACATTTGAATATTGTCCAAAACGTTCCAGTGCTTCTCCTCTCATTTCTGCGTCAACCTCCGAAACCCGAAGCTCCAGGAGCAATAAAGCCGCATCAATCCAAAATAATTTTCGCCGTCGGTCAGCAGTTGAGATGAACTCGCAGGGTACGATTACATGTTTGCCGTTTTACAGGCCTGCGAGTTTTACAAGGAGCAACTTGGATCTAATTGGATTACCCTGTTATCGCATCGTGTTTGAGCCCTTTCTCCTGATGATCGACGAGATGTTTGCTAATGCAGATAACACCTGCTGTCGACGAGGCTGTTGCATAACAAACCTGCTGACGGATTTAAGTTTTGTCTTGTTTGCAGAATTTACTGGACCCCCATAAATCACTTCTTTTTTTTTTTTTTGTTAAATGTTTTCTCATGGGTTAAAGACTTTCAGATTTTACCAATGAGGTTTTACCTGACAACCAATGCGCTGTCACATGCACTCTTCTTCTCTCTATAGAGTTGTATTTGCTTAAAATAGGTTTTAAGAAGCTGTGTTAGCTACTGTGTTTGCTCTGCAGCAGCACCAGCTGCCTTAAAATGTCCCTGATTCCAGCTAGTGTTAATAAAGACGTTCGTCACAATTTGGCTAATTTGCTAAAGGTGGAAAATGTTAGCAATTTACCAACATTCTCTCTGTCTGCAAAAATATTCCAACATTAAAATGTAAAAATGACTGTCGGACGGTTTAGCGGTCGAGGCTCATCCTCAGCGCGGCCTTCCAACATCGCGACCTTATGACCTTTGCTGCAGGTGTTGATCACCTCCCAGCTTAACTGTTTTTTTATGTTTTATAATGCGAAGCCCATTGCTCACACAAAATCTTACAAAAAAAGACAAACTACACTGCCTTCAGAGTTGACCATGCATAAAACATGTTTTTACATTTAGGAAAAAGGTGTTTCATTACTTTTTTAATTGTTGTACAGAAACTGCTACATAATTGTAGAAGCTCTTTTTAAGAAAAACAAACAAAAAAAACTGACTTTCACACAAATGTTTTCTCAACCACAAACCTTTTTAAAAACATGTTTTATAAGTGTCAGAATGCCCCTAATTCAGTTCTCCTTTTTTAGAGCCGTTTAAACCCTCTAAACACATTTTTACAATTCCAAAGGCTCAGTTGAAAGAAAGTACGTGCAAATGGCTGCAAGAGTTCATTAAAGGCCAAGATATCCTCAGACATGGTTCTGTGGGGTTTTTTCCCTTTTAGTCCAACATTAAGATTGCAGCAAATATGTGTATTTGTCAGCAAATCAGCTGAAACCTGGTGCAGGGTTATAATTATAGCGAAAAAAAACAAGACCCTGGGGCATTTCGCTGTTTCCCGGATCACGTTTTATTAGCCCGTATTAAAGGGGGCCCAAAAGAAGTCCCATTAATTTCCCATTCATTTCCAGTGTAACGGTTTTTATGGAACATCCAGGACCTCATAAGCGACAACTCTTTGAGGCGGCTTCAGTCGGTTTCTTCTGAGCTGTTCGCCCAGCCTTTGCTTCATCCAAAATTCATTATGTCAGGAAAACATCGGCGAGGCTCAGGGTTGGGCCTCTGCTTGTTATCTTTGGAGTCTGCAAAGCTGAGAAGAGAGCATTATTGTAATGACAGGCTGCAACCCAGATGGAAAAACAAGCGCACCAGTGGCTCAGTTCTTCTAAAATATGATCTGATGATGAACTGGAGACGAGAAAAGGGATAAAGATGGGATTAGTGTGACGGAACACAGTGACCATGATTGAAAACCTTAATGTCTGCATGTCGGCTGCTTGTGATGGCGCAATAATGTGGAGGAAACGGGCCGCCAAACATCACTGGTTTCGTCGCCTGCGTGGGTTTACAGATCCTGGTTATACGGCTGCTCAACACGCCACAAATTAACCATCAACTTTATTAGGTGTGACATTATCAGCTTCAGATCCGCTGGGTTGAATTCCTTTCTGTTTTAACTTTCTTTTTAAGTATCAGCTGCTTGTGATGAGCTGCCGTAGTCGTCAATATTTCACTCATCTGCTTTTGTTTTGTTTCGTTTTTGTCTGTGGAAACGAAATCACAAACACAGCGACGCGCCCCGAAACGAAAGAGATAATGATTGTTTTAGAAATAAGTGCAGGAAATTACCCAGCGGAACAAGTTGAGATTTGACCGGTTCCTTGTGCAAATCCTGATCGCTGGAAGAATTTCAGCTCGGGAGGAATCCGTCGCCAACAAAGGAGCGACGAGGAAAAGCTGATCCTCAAAGCGCCATCCGTCAGCGCTTGTCTCCTGCGCCCCATGATTGGCTTCCAGCGTTTGGGATTTACGCGGCTGCGCTGCGTTTTGGTGTTGCTGTGCCAATGCAGACTTGAACATCAGAGCCTGAGCCGAGCGCTAGCTCTTATTTGCTGCTGTTGTTTTGGATCCTGCTTTGCTGCCACTAGCTGCACAGCCATCAGGCTTTGTTTATGTTCTGCACTGTCGCACAAACACGAAAGCACCGGGGAGCCCAGAGCGTGTGCCTGTCTTTACTTGAACCTTTGTGTTTTCATATTTTTGATGCATTTCTACTGGAGCGGGGAGTAAGATGGTTTGTGCAGCCATTGCCCAACACCCATGTTTTCTTTTCCCGTCGGTGTTTTTCTAGCTTTGCCTCCAGAGATGGTTGTTTGTTTACATCAGTTCACAATGAGAGTTTCCTCCCATACACTTGTTGGCAGTGCTGTAGTCTTTAGCTAAACCTCATGGAGGACCACTCCCCTGTGAGAAGAGAAACAAATGGCCCATGGTGGCGTCTGTGTGGTGAAATGAGTTTATGATGGAGCCGAGCTCGTTTGTTTTCTGTCCCGTTAGCTTTAAAATCTGATTTATGAAACATTAAAAAAGAAAATTACTCTCATTCAGACTGGTGCGAGGGACAAAGTGTAAAATCCCATCAACTTTTTAGATTTAGAAGTCAGCCAAGTCAAAATTTTAATCATGTTTTTAAAGGAATAGTCAATGTATGAAGCATGACTGCATGAGGTCAATGGCAGTTTAGCTCATGAGATACTGTAGCATCTGCAGCTCATGCTGTAATCAGTTCAGTCATCTTGGAATAACCTTTAAACATTTTGTACCTGTTGGTGTCGTAAAATGTTTAAGATCAGGGCTATAGCTACCAATCACTAACAATCAATTTTTTGACTATTAATCACTTAATCAGATTTTTTTAAATTGCACATGGTACAGATTATTCATACAACCACTTTAGCCTTTTTATCCAATATTAGAAATGCATTAAAAGATGGATAAACAAATAATTAAATTCCTTTTTTAAAAAAAACGTGTAAAATGCAATAATGTAGCGTTCTTGTAGTGAATCTGAAATGAATGAAGCTAAAGCTATCCCACCTGAGGAGTTTGGCTGTAAATTTATTGATGGCCAAAGTGTCATCTTAAAATCTGTACATTTGTAAGATTTTGGCTTAATTACCACTTTCAATATGTTCTTTTCAGCAAATTGCCTTTTTTGCCCTCTGTTCTATAGTCTACACGCAATCAATTACTAAATTAGTAATCGAGGTACAAGTTTACTCACTAAACACCCTAGGAACAGACAAGACAAGGAATCAGGAGCTTTGTTGTCTTTTTAAAAATAGTTTAATTGTGTTGCATTCTGGGTAATAAAGTCTAGCAGCCAAGAAGTGATTTACAGGCAGCATGCGAGCAGGAATGCATGAGCCACCGATGACTGAAAAGGTGAGCTAAGACCTGTCGGCACATGCGTTGATGTTGACATATCCCTTTGAGCCTTCGTGTAATTGTTCCCGTCTCTTCATAATGACATGTGTGGCCAGGCTGCCTTTGCTGTTTTCAGGTCTTGAAAAGTTTTTACCAGACACAATAAAACAGCTAAAACGATTAGGCGACGTTGAAAAGAAAAAGACAGAATCCTGAATAAAACGATGCAACCACAAGATCAACAAAACGCATTAGCATCAAACTTTTTTTATTTACATTATTACAGTCATTTTCAGATTAACAAACTACGAAAAGTGAGAAATGTCTGTTTATTTTGAATGATCACTCTCAACCATTCTAAGTTTTTAACATCGCCTGCTGAGTTTTGTTGACTTGACAAACTGCTGTCTTGAGCTCTGGTGATCCTCCATGTTTCGTCCTTGAGGAAGGCGCAGAAGTCGTTCACTGCTGCACATCAGAGAGGTGACCTCTGACCCCCAACAGAGCCAGCGCTCCCTGCTGATTGGCTGACTAAATCCCATTTCTCCGACTTCCTCGTCGTCTCGCTCGCCTGCTTGAAAACACGCCGGCGCATTTACGTGTCGCTTTATGCTTCAAGCGAAAGCAGGATTTCAGGTGGCGTCTCCGACCTGTTCGGGGAATTGGGTGATTTTCTGAAACTTTACAGAGTGGGCGGAGCCTCTTCGAACTTCAACAAACTGTTTACACACAGGGAGGCTCGTCATTACGTCACCGCCGCCACGCTTTCCAGCTGAAACTTTACAGTCATGTATTGACTGATGTATGACTTCTGCTGCTGTTTGGGGGGGAAGTGGTGCAGAAACTATGAAACCACCAGGTTTCCAGAGATGACCTTCTGCCAATGGCGAAGTCACTGAACTGTGTTTGCAGCTGGTTTTCTGGTCCCACTCAACCACGCTTTCTTCCCTCCGACACCAGCGAGGCATGCGACGTACTCGGCACACATGGTTTTCTTATTTATGCTGATGGTTGCAGTCTCCCCTTCAAGGTGAGAGCACAACGTGGGCTTCTTTACACGAGGAATTGAAAACATTGCACAGATTGGCTAAAAATCTGCATGAATGGGCGAACGGCGTTAAGGGTTTTAACAAATTATTTAAATTTGTCAATTTTTCATTGTTTAAATGAATTTTAGTGCTTTTTTTTTTACCTCTGATCCTTTGCAGAAATCCTCTTGCAATGAGTTTTTATCTTAGATTTTTACACTTCTCTACATTTAACAATTTAAAGAGACAAAGTATCCTAGATACACAATTTTGATTATTTTGAATATATTTGCCTTTACATAATAAATACAGTATTTTTTTAAACCTTTATTGTTTCCTCCAGGTTTAACTGCTGTCTTACTGAATCAGTCATCTCATCGTTTCAGCAAAGTGGTTTTAACTCCATTTCCAGCTGACCAGAAGTGAGAGCACTTCATGGGAAGAAGCTCATTAGTTCAGAAAGAAAACACTTCTCACTCTCACTAACTGAGCATCAAAAACTCCATTAGAATCGCATGAAAGCTTTAATGCATCCCCTTTGCACTTGTGAGCGTTCTCCTCCTGTCTTTGTTGCGGGTCGGTTCTGTTCGCAGAGCCGCTGGCTGACGAGCGCGCGGCGCCCGTGACCTTTCGTCTGCTGACGGCAGCATTTTACAAGGCCGAGTGTGTTTTGCTGGAGAGCTTGGGGGTGTGTCTGAACTCGTGTTTGTGTGCGAGAGCGAAGCAGGGGTGTGCGGGTAATTGCTTTGCGTCGCTGGATAATCCCAATGTGGGCATTCCAGCGGCGAGTCGGCGGCCGTGACCATTAAAGCCCTGGGAATGAGACGTGTGGAGCAAATGCTGTGTTTTTGTTTTGCTGCCGTCTGAGAGGCTTGGTTCTGACCTCCACGTTGAGTCGGGCTGTAATGACAACGAGTGAGAGCCCGTTTGTTTGGAGGCTAAAATCTGTCGGAACAAAACAGCCGGGTCGAATGAGGCTGCGTCGGCATTTGGCATGTGTGTGCAATGCAGCCAGTCTGCAGCGTGAGTCACAGTGTGGCGGGTTGTTAATCCCTGGATTATAGATGAGCATGTAAGTATTTCTACAAGGATGTGTGAAGACAGATGTGGGCAGGGAATAGAGGGCAAACGGAATTTTTAGCTGCAGAGCTGCAGGTGCGGCACCTTCAACGTAGCATGGATTTATATTCAACCCCCGTTTCCTCCAATACCCCCAAATAAAAAGTATTGCAGCCAACTGCCTCCAGATGTTGCGTAGTTAATAAATAGTCCGCCTGTGTGCATTTAGACTAGTTTAAATCAATTTGTGAAGTATGCAAAGGTTTGTTAGAAAACCAACAGGAGCAAGAAAATTGGAGCAGGTAAAGATTGAAACAATTTAAAGACGTAACGGTTTAAAATAAGGTATCAAAAAGTCATTTTAAATGGTTATTCAGAGGAGGATTCTCAGCTTTTTGTGGATGAATGATTGGTTCTATGTTTGCTTAGGTATATTATCACTGTTGTGAAAGAAATTGTTTTATTTATTTCGTTTTTTTACGTGTAATAAGTAAAAGAAAAAAGCAGTGGGATTAAACAAGTTTATACTTCTGCCTAACGCCTTTGAAAAAAAAAAAATCACACTATTTGAATTGTGAGTATAAATATGTTTGAGCTTCCCTGTAGATTTGTTTGTTTCAAAGTCTTTAACATATGGTCCAAGACCAGTTTACTTCAGTTACATGACACTTTTACAGTTTTGTTCTGGTCCCAGTACAGAGCCTGGAGTCACACCAGCTGTGACTTTGAGATAAATGGAGTGACGCATCATCCTATTTTATACGGCTTCCTATCAGAAAGGTAAAAACCAGCCAACAGAGTGGTTTCATGATGCTTTATAGAATCTCTAAAAACTATTACAAAAAGCATTTAGCACCTAACGCCATTTTATTTTAGTCTGAGAGTCAGTTTTTGTTTCGCTATTGTCATTTGCAATTCATAATAGTTCAGTCTTCTGTTTGTCACATCTGTTTACAAGTGCAAACTTTTGTGTCTTGTAAACGTGTGAAAGCTCAAGGTGGAGGAGGAATCCTTCCACTGCCGTCTTGCGCTCCTCCCTACAAACGGGATTCATCTGCAAGTGTTTTGGAGAGGCAGAGATTACTCAACATGAGTCCTGCTTCATTTTCCACCTGAAGAGAAGCCGGCTTCATTGCCCTCGAGTGTGATTTGCATGTGTGTGTTCATGCGCATCCTGCAGCTTAACTCGGAAGGCTGCGATCTGTCCTCCTTCTCAGAACAAACGATGTCCTTTTCTTTTGTGCGGACCTGCGTGTGTGAAGACGCGCGCGCCCGCCAACGCGGATGCGGGACTCGGATCTAGGCCAGTGTCACGGCTCGGAGGCTCTGCTCTTTGACCCTCCTCCTCTTCCGCCGCTCCTTCATTACACGCTCTTCCTTCGCTAATGAAGGCGCAATTCGAAACCCTGCTGTGCCCCTTTGGCTTTATTATTAGCATGGAGGAAATTTGGTATGCAGTCAAGCATTAAGGTCACAACCCCTGATTGCTGATGTAAATAACGGTTTGTTATTAGCAGCAGGGCGGACTTCTGTTTGAAATTAAAACCCAAGCTGAGTTTTTTCCTTACCTCATTATTTTTGACGTTTGTTCAAATGCTAAAATAAAAGTTTGTTGGACTTCTTGAAGTCGTTTAAACTTTGACCTGGAGAGGAACCTTGGACTCTCAGGTATTTATCCTCTTGTG